GTGAGAGAGAAAGGGATCAGGTATGAGAGGTGGAGAGAGAGAAGGGGGTCAGAGAGTGAAAGAAACACAGTGAGAAAGAAGGAGGGAGAGAGAGACATTGAAAGAGAGAAGGGGAGAGAGCATGATGAGATGGGGAGAAAGAGAGAGACATAAGAGAAAGGAGGTGAGAGATGGAGAGAGAGAGCGAGAGTGTGAGAGAGATGTTGAGATAGGGAGAAAGAGAGAAACGTGTGAGAGGGAGGGGGAGAGAAATGGTGAGAGAGAAGGGGTGAGAGCGAGAAGAGGAGAGAGAGCGTGAGAGAGATGGTGAGGCAGGGAGAAAGAGGGACATATGAGAGGTGGTAAGAGAGACACTGTGAGAAAAAGGAGAGAGACAGTGAGAGAAAGAAGGGGAGAGAGTGAGAGCGTGAGAGAGAGTTGGTGAGGTAGGGGGAAAAGAGAAACGTGAGAGAGAGGGGAAGAAGCCGTGAGACGAAGGGGGTGAAAGAGAAGGAGAGAAAAAGACTGTGAGAGAAATGGGGTGAGAGAGGGGGAGTGAGAGAGAGGGAGAGGAGACATTTATAGAAAGAGAGAGTGTAAGAGAGGCAGTGAGAGAGAGAGGGTGAGAGAAAGGGTGAGTGAAACGGCATGAGAGAGAGGCTGAGAGAAACAGAGGGAAAGAAAGGGATAGGAGAGACACGGTGAGAAAGAGGGGGCTGAGAGAGAGTGAGAGAGATGGTGAAAGAGGAAGAGACAAACAACGAGAGAGACGGACTAAGAGAAAGAGAATGAGATGGCGAGGGAGAGGAGGAGAAAGCAAAAAGGAGAGAGCAGACTGAGATGCTATCGTCGTGACATCTCTAGAGTGGAGTGGAGCGAATAACGAGCCCGAGTGAACACATTTACGAGGAGATTATGGGCTGAAAGACAAATTACAACCATCGAAAGTAGTTCAGATTGTGTTAGAGGACACTCACCGCCAGCTCAGTCCTTGTTGCGTCGACCTACGTCATCAGAGGTATAATACTCCTTACAACAGAAGCGTAGCCGGACTGAACTTCACTATCACAGTGTCTTGAAGGTTCATGTCTCTGTGCTGGGTCTTGTACTGATGTAAATAAACTTCTCTTGCTTTAAAACTCCAGTGTTGTGTTTTTTATCTTCAGTTCTCAGATTACTACAATTTATTCTAAATCAGACCACTACAAACGCGTGGGATTCTTGGATTAGTTTGGCAGCTCACATTTCAGTGTTGTATCAAATTTGAACAAGCTCCAAAGGAAAACGATGTTAACGTCTCAACTATCCAATCTTTACTTTCAAAAGATCCCAAAAAATGCACTATAGGAGCTTTTATAGCAACTGCAAAAGACTACAGTGTAACAAAGTAAAAGTAATAACGTACTGTGCGTAAGTTTAACTTTTGAGGTACTGTACTTTAATTTAGTAGATTTTAAAATAGATACTTCACTATATTTGACAGCAGGTGTCTTTACTTTCTGCTTCACTGCATTTTTGTACTGGACTGAAAAGTAAAAGTGTTTTTTTTATGATAGTTTGAGACCTGCTGGAAAGGCTGGGGGTTTATTTGTAACACACTTGAGTTTGAGCAAACAAAAATATAATACAAATAATATAATAACAGTAAAAATTCAGGACAAATCTGTATCAAAATCACTACATCTGAAGCTGTATTAGACCTCCAGCTCAACTCAAAATACGTTTACTTTACTTCCTCCTTATTTCCAGCGCTCGGTAAACACGCCGCAGACGAAGGGGGAGGAGTCAACTGTGCGGCGGTGCTAATTTAAGACGGTGAATGAGAGGTCCAGCAGACCCACAATGCAGCTGCTATGTGCGGAATGTGTTCACAGACAAAGTCTTCAAGTGTGACAAAACCATTCAAAAGAGCTATTTATTACATCCCTGTAGTAATTGGCAATGTAAAAAAAAATTGGAATCCAGCCTTTTTTAATTCCAATTCAATTCTAATATTATAGCTTTGATTATTTGGTCTGAACAGCACTTATTTCCTTAAAACATAAACAAAAAAGATAAAACTGATCCAAATATGTTATGTTGCTATAACATATCTCTCATGTAACTAGAGAACAACAATGTGCAAATAAAAATTCTAAAGTTCTGAGACCATCTGGACAAGTAAATGAGCAACATTTTCAGGGTTATTGTTATTGTTGACTCAAAATGATTTTTTGTTCTCTCATGTATTTGAGCAAAATGTTTCCCATGTAATATAGGCAGCTCTTGAGGTCAGCTGTGTACTGCATGCATCCAATTATAAAGTTTTTTTATTGTCAGAAAAGCAGGGAGTGTGCTGTTAGCATTCTAGTATTTTTATACATGAAAGTTGTTGCTCATAAAATCATCATGGTGAATAACTAGGATGCTCTGAATACATGAGGGAATAACTTTGGATCTCTGAAAGTGATTTAGAAGATAATAATAACAACAACTAGCATGCTAACAGCACAAAAACATTACTTTCTGGTTTGCGGTGGTTAAAAACACTTTATAATCTGATGCAGACAGTACACAGCAGTCTTATTTTGACCCTAAGAGCTGCTTTTCAAGATATTTGTACTGGGGCAAGATACATTTTAATTTATTGTAGCCCCTTACGGACAAAGATGTATTTTTTTCTTAGGTGGCTATACAAGACAAAACTGAATCATATTTCCAACAAGAAATCTAGCCAAAATCCAAAAAAAATTGTAACAGCATGGAGGCAGTGGTTCAGTGGTTTGAGTGTATACTGTTGTTGTGTCCTTGAGTTATAATACAGTTCACCTATCTTACCTATGTAGGACTGCTGTGTGCTTGCAAAACGCAGTAGAAGCTAGGGTTGTCAAAAGTACCGAAAAACACATACTAACAATACTAAAATGCATAACGAAACTAGGTACTCGTTTGAGCAGGTATCGATACTAAAAAAACCCCGTAGCTTTAACAGTTTTAGTATAATTTTGATAACGTATTGTTATTTTGTATATGAAAATTACATTCTATTACTAAAAAAATATCATGTTTTATCGTTAACGTGATATCGTAATTGGCATTAAGTCTACTCAGTCTCGAAATTGCGTTTGAAATGTTAGTACCGTGACAAGACTAACAGAAACATAAGACATTATCATCACATGAGCGGATACGAGCGGTCTAGTCCACCACAGAACCAGGATGTTTATGGTTTGAGTTCTAGAGCCAGGCCCGGTCTTCTCACACTAGACGGGCTAATTATACCAGCCGTGTTGACCATTTGGTGTGGCGCTAATTCAACAGCTGTGGGCAGTCTGCATTTGAGGAAAACAAGGCACGTATGAGACATCGCGTTTACAGTAGGAGCCTGGCGTGCTGTGACTAGTGTTGTCACGATACTGAAATTTCGATACCAAAGAGCAGCAACTCGTGTCAGTCACTACAATGGATAGCTGCAGATCACATAGAGTGATCTTTTTTTTTTCCATTTGTACCAAATTTACTACGTGATGCCGCTGAATCCTACGTGTATCACCAATTAAGAAAAAAGAGAACAAAGTGTGTACATCTCAGGGGGCGTGTGCCAGCGTAGGTGAAAACAGGACTTGATCTACAAAACGGCATCTTGAAAATAAGCGATTAAAGATTACTCAAACATGCATGAATCGCTCCAAATACAACTTCAGAAGGTAAATGAGAATGGAAACAACTACAATTTTGCACAAACAACTGTATCTGATTTTGATGAAGCCACAGAGTGTAACTTTTAGACAAAACATTAAATGTATTTAGGTCAATGTACCATGAGATTCTGATTCTGATCTGTTGTTTTATTCCTGTTCACTAAGTAACAGTCCATGAGCAAAGCCCACACCGGAAGGCTATAGACTGTGGGTCAAAGGTCAAAGGTTAAGTTTATGATGGTGGAGGATTTGTAAACTTGCAGTAAAAATACTATTTACAGTCATTCCACCTATTTACCAGTGCCATCAAAATGTGGTCCTGGAGCCACTATATGTACATTCTATATCAAGTAAATGAGTGGTTCTTAGTGACTTTTTCTATACCACCAGATCTAAACCAGGTCTTAAACTGGACTATTCCAGGTCTAAATTAGGGTTTAACCAGGTCTATTATAGCAGTACACCATTGTTACAGAAGTTCTATCCAAGAACTAACTCAAAAGAGGGCAGAAAGTAAATAAAACAGACTCTAAATTAAACAAATCTGTAATCTTTAAAGTACTCCACAAACAACTAAATCTCCTGTCTCATTTTGCTTTAAAAATGCTTATCCTGCAGTAGCACAGAATCTGAAAATCATCAAATGGCATTTTGCAGATGATGTCATCAGCATTCCATTGGAGGTGCAGCTAACTGGAGGCACTACTCTGTGTGAAGCTCTGGTACTTAAGTTAGACTTTAAACCATGGGTGGGCAATTATTTTTTTCCATGGGGCCACATGAGAAACAGAAAATATTGTGGAGGGCTGGACCAAAATGCTCAACTCAATTCTGCATAATATTTCTTTATAAAAAGCAGTAAATAGCATTGTTGTCACGAGCTGGTAAGACTGTTAAGAGTTTAGGTTATGACTAAGCAATAAAAAATTGAGGTTGCCTTACAAAAAAGTAATTTAAAAAAGCACCTCTAAAATAAAAGCAATGCAGCTCTAGTCCATGTATGAGATAAAATTATAAAATATATGATCTGATCTGTGCTGTTAAACAAGTCCTTCTCAAATAACATTACAGTCATACACTAGCTCATATTAACCAAGTTTTTCAGTTTGTCACTGTCACATTTTTGTTGAAAATCAAACTCCATCTCCTATTGATCACAAGCTCTATTTTATATTTTGTTTGTTTTGTTTTCAGACCATTTAAAAACTCCTCAAGCTGTGTTTGCTAATATGTGTATTGTGTCACCACGGTAACAGCTGAAAATTCTGCCATAGACATACATGTAGTACCCCCAAAGCATAAACCGTCTCTTAGCTGTATGTATATGAATGCTTCCCTTACCTTCTCCCAGGTCCATAACAGCGAGCACGGCGCTACAGCTGGCCTCTCCCAGGGCGTTGGAGGCCACACAGGTGTACAGTCCAGCATCGGAGGTCCTGCAGTCGCGTATCCACAGCCCCCCCGCGTCCTGGGCCTCGGAGGGGGGGAGGAGCAGGTCGCCACGGTACCAGGAGAGGGCGGGCGCGGGCCATCCCGTCACGGACACTCGGAGGCGGATGTCACAGCCCGTACCCACGGCGGCCTTGCGCAGTCGGCGGGTGAAGACGGGAGGGGCGGGGTCCTGGGGGGGAGGGGGGCCGTTCCTGGAGAGCACTTTGGGTCGTCTGGAGGGGGCGCTGAGGACGGGGCTGGAGCCGGGGTCGTCGGCCATTTTGTTCACAGAGGGACTGTGCTTCGTATCTGAAAAACAAAAAGTAAGATGTGTCTAAATTCAAATAAAACATCCACATCCCTCTGTGTTTTTAAGCATTAAGTTAATAGAGACTGTGAATTAGTTTTTAGTTTAAAAGAACTGTATGTAGCCTGCTCTTTTAATGTTTAAAAAATGTACTGCAATCACAACTTGAACCTGTGTCTGAGGAGCCTTAACCTGCAGAACAGAAGCTAACATTCCAAACTGCATTCTCTTCTCACAACTCACACACATTTAGCACACTTTTTACATATATACATACAATGAAGTTTAGTGGTTTGAAAATGTGTCTTTTAACCTGCGTGCAAGCTAACACATAGGCTAATACTCTAAACTGCGTTTACTTCTTACAAGTCACACACATTTATACAATTATTTATTTGAATTCACTTTTTTGTTTTAAATCTAAATTTTGTATTTCAAACTGAGTTACAATTTACCAGATCGGAGGTGGCTGTTATTTGATTTTACCCAAAATGAGTAATGGTTAAGAATAACAGTCAGCGAACAGTAATCACTCCAGTCATCTATTACAAAATGTCCAAATATAATGGACTTTAATGTGTGTCTTTTAACCCATTTACTAGCTAATACATAGACTGCATAGGCATTCATTTTGTAAATGTTAATACATTCAGAAATACTTCTAAATTAAAATTTAGTTTTTTACCTCTTCAAAAACAGACCTCGAGTTGTGTTTTGTTTCATTCACACATGCTTGAGTGACCCTTTATTACTGGTCTGTCTACATCTCTAAAGCTCCATATGCTCTGTTCCACCTTGTGATGTCATGAGGCAGTAGTTTTCAATCGATCAGCTACGTTTTTACCTTTAGTTCAGTACAGAATGGCAATTCCATGTCTGAAATGATCGAAATGATTTTAATGAAAAAGTGTAAGGGGTTTAAAAACACAGTGGAGCACTTCCTGTATTACCACATGTCATCACAAGGTGGAGTGTTTTCTTTTTGAGAGAAGAAGCCTAAATAAACAGTTTGTCTGTTAAATGTGTGAATGAACCAAAACAAAACAACTCTAGGTCTGTTTGTGATGAGGAAACTACATTATAATATAGCTCAGAAAATAATCTAATATGGGCTCTTTAATAAAAAAAAATATTCTTTTACTGTTCATATTTTAATTCATATATTTCCTTTTTATTAACCATATAATAACAGTATTTACTGAATTATTTTATGTAACTGCCCCAAATCTTTATTTTTAGTGTCATTATTGCTCACAGTAGAGTAGATAAGCAGTGATATGAGAGCGCCCCTGCTGGCGTCTTTGGCTCACTGCACTATGCCACACAACACTTATGTCACCGCTCTGGCCTCTGCTCCAAACTGGGACTGCTCTCAGCTCACACACATTCATCACACTCCTCTACGTGCACCGTTCACTTTCAAATCTGTTTTAAAAATACATACAAACATTTCTGAGTCTAATTGTAGTAAGTGTATTTCAAATTTATTGTCATTTAGCAAGTTTTTGTGGTTTGAAATTGACACAAACTATATTACCTTCTTACTACTATTTATTTTTTAATAAAACTTTCAAATAATAATAATAATAATTTTGCATTTTTCATGTTATTGCCATTTACCACTTTGCTGCCACTGCATTCAGATAACAATGACTACATCAGAAATCAGAAATGTAAAAAAAAATAACGATTAAGATAAAGACATACGTAACATTCACACAAAACGTTAAAAAGATTGTGTCCTTTAAACTACTCACTAGCTAAAGCACTGACTAACACATAAGCCAACTGACATTCGTTTATACAGTTATTTTGGCTTTTATTTATTATTTTTTTAAGTATTTTTTAAATAAATTTGCAAATGTTTCTGAATAAAATGTCTGGTAAAGTTGCTATCTAGCAGATCTGAGGTGGGCTCTTATTATTTATTTGACTAAAAACTAAAAAACTACTTTAACCTACTTAAAGAAAATGAGTAATGACTAAGAATAACAGTAAGCCAACGATAATCACTGTAATCTTCCATTACCACTACTAGTACTACTATTACTTAATCGTTACTATTAATACATAGGCTACAGATACACTCATTTTGACTTCTGGCTTACTGCTTAGGCTGCCACTCTATTTACCTGTACTTGTCCATAAATCCTCTTAATGCACTTTTTGATATTGCTCATTTATGATTGTTCTTACCTCTTTTAATCACTGGACACTGAGGAACACATTTTGTTCTGTCATGTGTTTCTCTCTCACACTTGAATCTCAAATAAAGAACCTTGAAAATTAAACCTTTTTCAAAAATGTATGCAATAAAAATCCATATTTTTTTCCCTAAATTTAAATATTGCATTTCAAATTGAGTTGCCATTTAGCAGATCTGAGGTGGGCTGTTATTTGATTTGACTGAAAACTAAAAAACTACTTTAAGCTAATGACCTAATGAGTAAGTAATGATAATCGCTGTAGTCTTCTGTTACAAGATGTTCGAATAATATGGATTTTTATTGGCTTGAAAATGTGTGTCCTTTAACCTACTTGCGAGCTACTACTACCTTAAACAAAGACTAGAGATGCACTTTTTAAAAAATCTAAGTAATAGACTAGGGCTGGGACAAGATCTTGTGCCACAAAATCTCACGAGACAAAATTGATACAAGATCGTGCACACATGAGAAAAATTATCTTGTGAGATTTTTTTCCTCCTTAAAAGTTGTATAGAGGATTTTCCAAGGAACGAGAAATCCAGCGACTGTTTGTCCTTTTTCAAATGTTGCGCATGTGTGAAACCACCCCCCCTCCCCTACAGCTCCTACGTAGAAACGTCTCCTCCCGCCTCCTCCTTACGCCAGAAACAGGTTTGTTTACAGCCGGTGCTGCACATGACTTGTAAACAACTAACCTACAGTGTTGGTTAGGCAAGATGGAGAAGTGAGGAGCGGGGGGAGCGGGTGTGCGGACATTTCGTTCGCAGACGAGAAGTGAGGAGCAGGGAGAAGAGCGGAGCAGGGAGAGGAGAGAGGAGAGAGAGGAGAGGGGAGCGGTGCGCGGAGATTCCGTGCCTGGAGAAGTGAGGAGCAGGGAGAAGAGCGGAACGGGCAGCGGGGAGAGGAGCAGGAAAGGGGTGCAGAGAAGGTTGCGCGGAGATTCAGTGCGAATGAACTAGCTACAACACAGCAGCAAGTGGACTCTTTCTTTGCCTTGAAAATTACGTTTTCAGACATAGGATATCGCTTTCGTGTCCTGAAAAACGTTTGACTAGCTCTTGGAAATAAAGTACGTTTTCATAATAAGCAGAAGTTTCCTGTCCAGGAGTAATTTGGCGACCAGTGCGTCAGTCTTTAGACCCTGCGTCTGCTTCAGTCGCGCCATCGCTGGAATGAATCTTCAAGAATCACCTTAGTTCTTTTCTTGCTTCTTCTTTCAGCAATCTCGAAACTGCTCCTGGATTCTTGTCGCCATTGCAAACAAACTTTGTGCTAACTGCGAGGAAGATATAGGTCAAAAAAAAGCCGCTAAGAACTGTTGCGTTGGTGGAGTAAACAGCGTCTGTGCGTCTGTGGACTGCGTGACAGGCGTACGTAAACCACGTAACCGGCAGCGCGCAGGCAAGTCAGTTACACTAGAAACGTAGGGAGATTGATTGACAGCCTGTCAGCTAACAGATAACGAGGCAATGTCGTTATCTATTGGCAAATGTTTAGCCCCACCACGTCCAGAGTTGATGAATTTTTATTCTCTTTTTTTTGGTCATCATAATTACAAGGCTACTGCACCTCTATAATGCTATCATTGACAACTTGAAACAAAAAAAAAATCCTCCATACAACCTTTAATTTCCCTTTGGCTTGGACAGAAAAATCGTTAAGAGTTAAGAAAGTATAGTTCCAAAAAGCAGAATACAGTGACCATTTAAAGTATTACATAACATAAATAAAAATAGTGAAGTCATAATTCTGAATTGGAATTGCACTGTTATTATTATTTATTACAAATTATGTCAAAATCTCGTTTTGTCTCATTCTCGTGGACCCAATCTCGCGGAGTGTCTCGTCTCGTGAAAACTGTGTCTCGTCCTATCCCTACAATAAATCCATATTTTTTTCAAAATTTACACATTGTATTTCAAATTGAATTGCCATTTAGGAGTTGTGAGGTGAGCTGTGGGTTATTTGATTGCACCCGAATCCATTTGACCATTGACAACTGAGAAAGATTTGGGTATTTGTAAATAATTACAGTAATTTATCAATAATTAACACGAAACACAAATTACATTTATTGCAAAACGTTAAACCTCTCTTGAAAACTACTAGGTAACGATAACACGCCAGCTGAAACCCCAAATCACGCCAACTTTCCACAACTTTTTCCATTTCACCTTCACAAATATTTCCACTTCTCAGCTTCTGCCTGTCCCAACTCTCCCCTGTGACTCTCACACTGCGTGTCCACCCAATAACACTTACCAGAGTTGATCCATTTTCTAGTCCAAGAATCCCGGCGCACATCCCCACAAACTCCAGGTTAGCGTAACAGTATCCGTGTCATGTCCAACTATGTGCGGCCGGGGGCAAAAACCGAGGGCCCAGGTCCGAGGTGTAAGTCCGGGCTGGATCATGTAGCATTAGCGGCCTCTCTTATGGTCCTGCTTCATTCTACGAGCACACAGAGACACACAGATAGAGAGAAAGAGGGAGGGAGAGAGGGAGGGATGGTCGGAGGAGGGAGGGAGGGGAGGACTGCGAAATGTCAAACTGCTTAGGCGCTCTACAAGACTTGGGACAACCTCTCTTACTCATCGAAAAGGAAAAGAGGAGGAGGAGGAGGAGGAGGAGGAGAGGGGGGACAGCTGCTTGTGTCCAACTTGTTTAGAACTTCAGTGCGTAGCTACTACTAAGTGGGTAGAGTAATGATACTATTATGCGAGTAATAGTACTGCTACTTCCAAATAATGTTACTCAAGTAGAATTGCAGTAGTAGTAGGAGAGTAGTGGTTCAAATAGGGACTCAAGTTACACTAAAAAAGTATTTGGGTAAAGTACTACTCAAGTAAAAGTAATTTGAAGTTCATGTAATTTGAAGGACAAAACATCAGGTGCAAAGTCGGTCAGCTGTGTGTCTCCATGGCGATGTTATTGCAATGTCTGGAATGTTCCACAGTATAGCATTAAATGTATCGGTCTCACGCAGGTAACGCCACCACGCCAAGTTACAGGTAAGATCTGTGGAGAGGCACGCCAGCTTACAGTAAGAATGCGTGCTTTTCAGTGTGTTTTTGAGCAATAAAAACACCTGCAGCAGAATAAATGCGAGATAGATAAGCCTAATGCCATACTGCGGAACATTCCAGGTCCAAGATATAACATCTCCATGGTGGCAAGAAGGTAGCAGCAGACCAGACCAGAAAAGTTACATTGTGCACCTTTAAATAATGCACAAATCTGGAGTTGCAAAAAACAAAAAATTCCTAGTATATGTGAAGGAACGGAAGGGGAACAACAACCTTTACTCGAGTAAGAGTACTGTTACACCGTCAGATACATTACTCGAGTAGGAGTCAAAGTATGGCGTCTGAGAAACTACTGTACTATGTGAAGTACTACGAGAAGTACTGTATTCAGAGGTTGCACGTTTAGAAGGCTCGAGAGTGCACGGTGGATTGCGTTATCAGAAGTACTAGTTGGAAGGACTTTAAAGACTTGATAGGGGTGAAGGGGGAGAGGGAGGGAGGGAGGGAGAGAGGGAGAAGGCCATGCTAGCAGGAGAAGGCATGCGGGTGACAGTTGGAGCGGCTATAAAAAGAAGTGCTAAGAATAAAAGGCAGGACTGGGTGAGCGATTGTACGCCACTGACGACAAAAACAAGCTAACTGTTGTAGCACCACCTTTTAATAACTATGCCTAAGTTAGCCTTAGGATGAGCAAAGACTGACTTCTTAAACATGCACTGTGTAACTTTTCTGGTGGAGGGTCTGTCACCTGCTTGTTTCTATGGATATGTCATTGCTCACCATGGAATGTTTCACAGTGTGACATTATACAGCTCTGCCTTACAGTTATTCAGTTACAGGTGGATTTATATCTCGGAAATACCAAGAACACAGTTTCCCCAGGTGTGACTACCCCAAATTTAAGACTTTTTAAAGACCTTTTTAAGACCACTTAAATGAAAATTAAGACCAACATCGCACCCATTATGCGAGTGAAAAACACCAGAACCAATTCTAATAATGAGCAAACAACTGCTATATCTAAAATCTAAGAGCCACTGTGGATTAAACCTGCACTTCCCCATGATCCATCCAAGGTCTTCCTCCACTCTGATTGTTTACTCATTGCCGATGATGCCAGAAACCAAAGTATTTTTTGCGCATACTCCAAATTAGACATTCATTCACGTTACATGATTTCACGTTGTTGTTTTTTTCCCTCCGTTTAACATTGCACTGCAGCCCGGTTGAGTATACAAAAAAAAAAATAGGCAAATGAAATTTAAGAGCTTTGTGAAAAAAGTAAGACTTGGGCAACATAATTTAAGACATTTTAAGGCCTTAATTTAGGAACATGAAATTTAAGACCTTTTTAAGACTTAAGACGCCGGAGCTACCCTGAAGAAAAACCAGATCTGACCTGTAACTTGGTCTGGTTTGCTCTCCGTGAAGATCATACTGTGAACCATTCAATGTGTCTTGCTCCAGTACAGATATATTGTACAAGCAGCTCTTGAGGTCAAAATAAGTCCACTGTATACTGTCTGCATCTAATTATAAAGCGTTTGACTGTGAGAGAATCAGGAAGTGTGTGTTAGCATGCTAGTTGTTAGCTTGTGAAAACTTTTCTGGTAGAGGGTCTGTCAGATGCTTTTCTCCATGGACATTTTATTGCTTTGTCTGGAATGTTTCACAGTATGGTATTAAACCTTTCTATCTTCATGGTGACCAAACCAGACCAAGTTACAGGTCAGATCTGTGGAGAGACAACCTCACTCACAGTCAGAATGCCTGTTTTTCTAGGTATTTTTGAGCTATAATACCACCTGTAATTGAATAAATGCAGGATAGAGCTGTTAAATGTCATACTGTGGAATATTCCAGGTAGAGCATTGACATACCCATAGAAACAAGCAGATGCAGACACTCAACAAACAAGGGAGTGCACCTTTAAAATATTATAGCCTTAAAATTATACAATGTCATTTGAATTGTTAATCGCTACAGCAACGGTCTTCACTTGAAACCCATAAATAGCAGAAATGATAGCCCTATAAATTGTGACTAACACAAATCATCATGCTGCCCATTCTACTTCTGGATATACATGCATTTTGAAAACACATGAATTCCAGATCCGTCTGTAATTTATTCTTTAGCCCAGTCTCGTACAGACTGTAGTTACTTATTCTCCTTGTAAGAGAAGCACAGTGTTACATAAGTCATTGTACTGCACATTGTGTACCTGCAGGCATACTTCAGTATTCACATGCCCTCGGAGCTCACACCTCACAGCTGAAAAACACAACAACACAACACAACATGAGGCAGCAAGTTTAACCTCTCCAGCTGTGAAAGAACAAGGCAGGAAGAGTAAGTATTAGTGCCTAATCCTGATTTCTTAACGTCTACTGTCATCCTGCTTACACAACCATGACAGAGGATTTTACGTCCAGATAAATGCATGCTTTTTATCATGAAAAGTTCATTTATTATAACACAACATTAAGTTGTAGTCCATGCTCTGGATTTTAAAACCTTAATACTGGTATCGACAAATATCGAGAATCAGCCACAGCAGCAACATGTAGATATATCCGAAAGTCACCCAACCTCCTGATCAAAGCCTGAACTCGTCAGATCTCAGAAGATAAGCACGGCTGGGCCTGGTTAGTACGTGGATGGGAGACTGCTGGGAAAGTCAGTGGCAAAACTGTTGTTGTGCCCTTAGGCAAGACCCACATTGCCTAGTGGTGTGCAAGTGTTTGGTCCTGGTCAGTGGGCACTGATGGAACAAACTGGCAGCCTCACTTCAATCAGTCAGCCCCAGGACAGCTGTGGCTACAGTAACAGCTTACCACCACTGAGTGTGGAGTGGATGAATAAAGCATGAAAAGCATGAATGTGTGAAGCGACGCTGAGTGACTGGCTCTGCTGGCCGTCTGTGGCACCTGATTTTCCCAGCAGTCTCTCATCCAAATACTAACCAGGCCAGGCCCTGCTTATCTTCTGAGATCTGATGAGATCAGATTTTGACAAGAAGGTTTGGCCACATAATCATATCATCTTGAGTGTATGATCTGATTCATTCCTCAGTTGGGGTGCTGTTTTCCCACTAGTCGCACATAAATGCATTCTGACTGTGAAAGGCTGTCCCCGCTCACACTCCAGTAGCAGCTGCTTAAAAACAGTCTCCTGGACCACGAGGAAACTAAATAGGCACTGCTGGGATTCGAACCCAGGATCTCCTGTTTACTAGACAGGCGCTTTAACCAACTAAGCCACAGCGCCACATATCAATATTTCTCAATGACCAGTTTATCAAGTTTATGACCCGGGCTCTTGTCCTTTCACAAATAAACACAGCCATGCAAATGGACCTACCTCTTAATACTGTATATTGTTAAGCTCTTAGAGTGAAAAGCCAATCAAATCCTCTGCAGTGTAGGTCAGCCTCACAGGTATTCCTGAGCAGCAGGTAACATTCAGGTGCTCTCATGGTAAGGCCTATAAACACACAAATATTCACGACTGTTTTAAAGGAACCTGTATGTCAGATTTGAGTTTAAATTCAGCTAAGCTTGACATCTTATCTTTCCTTTCATTGCACAAGTAAATAGGCACTGCTGGGATTCGAACCCAGGATCTCCTGTTTACTAGACAGGCGCTTTAACCAACTAAGCCACAGCGCCACATATTGCTATTTCTTAATGACCAGTTTCTCAAGTTGTATAAGGACTTTGCCACAACGAGCAGTCTTTATCCACAAAAGACCTACCTCACATGCAAAGATACTGTTACAGGGAATAGCAATCAAATCCTCTCCCAGTTTGTAGGTTATCTTGAGGAATGTTTCTTATCACTTTGCAGCATTCACTCTGGTCTTCTCCTATGGGCATGGAAGCAAAAAGTACACAAAATATGAATGAAAATGTACATGACTCACCTTCTAAGTATTTTGTGTAGTATCAAATGCTTTTCTACATGGAGATGTCATTGCTTTGTCTGGAATGTTTCACAGTATGGCATTAAACCTTTTTATATTCATGGAGACTAAACCGAGACCACGTTACAGGTCAGACCTGTGGAGAGGGACCCACTCACAGTCAGAATGTCAGTTTTTCTATGTATTTTTGAGCTATAAAACCACCTGTAATTGAATAAATGTAGAGCTGTTTAATGTCATACTGTGGAACATTCCAGGGAGAGCAATGACGTATCCATAGAAACAAGCAGGAGACGGACCCCCAACCAAAATGTTGCACATAAATTATGATAATGTGAGAATTGCTGACTGAGAAGATTTCCCAAATCTGCATTTTACATATGAATAATTGTCACATGTATTTGCATAGTTTTATATTGATTATCTAATGCAATCTTTTGCACTAAATAGGCACTGCTGGGATTCGAACCCAGGATCTCCTGTTTACTAGACAGGCGCTTTAACCAACTAAGCCACAGCGCCACATAGCCTCTTATTGTGTAACTTTTCTGATTGGGTCCATCACCTGGTTGTTACATTGTCTGGAATGTTCCACAGTATGACATTAAACAGCTCTACCTTACATTTATTCGATTACAGGTGGTTTTATAGCTCAAAAATACATAGAAAAACAGGAACTCTCACTGTGAGCGGGGTCAACTCTCCACAGATCTCACCTGTAACTTGGTCTGGTTTAATTGCCATGAAGATAGAAAGGTTTAATAATATACTGTGAAACATTCCAGACAAAGCAATAACATCTCCATGAGAAAAAGCATTTGACGGCCCTACACCAGAAAAGTTACACAATGCACCTTTAATTTTAGTATAGGATGCCCACGTGGAGAAGATGCAAATATTCCACCGTTTCCATTTGCAGTCAAATACACTAACAAACACCTCTGCCACTTCTACACTGAAGTATAGTTTGTATTTTATTATTCAAATCTAAAAAATATAAATAATTACCACATGGGGATATGATGGTGCTTTTATCCATGAAGTAAGGCAAGGCAAGGCAAGTTTATTTGTATAGCACAATTCGTACACAAAGTAATTCAAAATGCTTTACAGAATAAGAAATACATTAAAATCATAATAAAAACAAATCAAAACATAAAAATAATCATGAAGATTAAAATTAAAAAAGAGAGACATAAATTGGAGAGAAGAGTGCGGAATGAAAACCTTTCAGTTATATGCACAGTTAAACAGAAATGTTTTGAGCCTGGATTTAAACAGCGTCACAGAAGAGTCTGTCTCACATGTTCAGGAAGACTGTTCCAGGTTTTAGCTGCATGAACCTGAAACACTGACTCCCCTTGTTTAGTCGTGACTCTGGGCACCAGCAGGAGGCCGGTCCCTGAGCTCCTCAGAGTGCGAGATGGTTCATATGACACTAACATGTCACAGATGTACTTTGGTGCTCGGCCATGGAGACACTTGTACACAAGCAGAGCTGCTTTAAAGTCTCTGAGGCACAGGAAGCCAGTGCAGAGACCTGAGCACAGGACTTATGTGCTTGTACTTCCTAGTTCGAGTAAGGACCCGAGCTGCAGAATTCTGGATGTTCTGCAGCGTCTCACAGCTCGTTTGGAGAGACCAGTGAGCAGACCATTACAGTAGTCTAATCTACTGGAGACAAATGCATGGATAAGTTTCTCCAAGTCTGATTTAGACAGTAAACCTTTGATTTTTGCTATGTTTTTTAGATGGTAAAAGGCTGCAGATGTTATTGATTTGATGTGGCTGTTAAAGTTCAAGTCTGAGTCCATTATTACCCCTAGATTTCTTGCCTGATTTGAAGGTTTTAGAGAGAGAGACTGCAGGTGATGCTGACACTGTCCCTTTGTTTTTGTGGACCAAACACTATGACTTCAGTCTTGTCAGAGTTTAGCTGGAGAAAGTTGTTTTGCATCCACACACTGATCTGTTGGATGCAGTGACCAAGTGAGTCCACTGGTCCATAGTCTCCTGCTGCCAGAGAGACGTAGATCTGAGTGTCATCTGCATAATTGTGGTAGGACACATTATTGCTGCTTATTAACTGGCCTAATGGCAGCATGTAGAGATTGAACAACAGGGGGCCATGTGATCTGAGACACAGTTTCCAATTTCAACAAAATACTTCCTGTCTTCTAGATAGGATTTGAACCAGTTTAGTACAGTACCAGAGATGCCCACCCAGTCCTCTAGTCTCTGTAAGAGGATCCCATGATCGACAGTGTCAAAAGCAGCACTCAGATCTAACAGGATCAAGACTGAGACTTTGCCTGCATCAGTGTTCAGGCGGATGTCATTTGTCACCTTGATAAGAGCAGTCTCAGTGCTGTGATGGGCTCTAAAACCTGACTGGAAAACATCAAAGGAGTTGTTCATTTGGAGAAAGTTCGTAAGCTGTTGGTAAACAGCTTTTTCAAGGACTTTGCCAAAAAACGGCAGATTTGAGATGGGTCGGAAATTGTTCAGTACTGTGGCATCAAGACTGCTCTTCTTTAGGAGAGGCTTAATGACCGCAGTTTTCAACGCATTTGGGAATGTTCCAGATTGAAGTGACATGTTCACTATGTGAGTGAGTGGTGAAAGTAAACTGTTGAGGACGGACTTTAGAAATCTAGTGGGTAACATGTCCAGGCAGCAAGTAGATGAACTCAGACTGGTAACGATCTCTAAAACAGTTTTGTCAGTTACAGGGGCAAAGTGATTCAGCTCTAAGTGTCTGTGGCTGCAGCTTGTTATTTGTGTTGTGGAATTGATGGCATTTTTGATGCCCTGAACTTTGTCATTAAAGAAAACTGCAAACTCATTACATTTAGATGTGGAAATTAGTTCTAGTGGCAGTTAAGTGGAGGGTTAAGTAAACGTCCTTATATTTGTAGCTAGAGTTCATTTCTGTATCCACCAGTAAGGCACGTGAAAATGTTAGCTAGCTTACAATATTCGCGAATATTAACTCGCTAAAAATCACAAATATGTGTATTATTAGATACATGTTACTTACCTGAGTTCTGCACAAGCGGAAAATCCCATTGCAAGAATTAAAAGCACAATTTAAACGAAATAAATCAACTTTTCCTGAGTGGCTGTGACTATTGGAGAGCAGCGTGATTGGACACAGCTGTGATGACGCACTCATAAGAGAGGGGATCTTACAAATGGAGAAATTTATTTAAATTCTACATTTGTCTTGAAAACAGTCGCTTATCTTTTTGTATTTAGTCTTATTTAATTTTTGCTTTAATTTCAGTGTCATTTGTGTGTATTATAGGTTCATTATATTTACAGCCTTTGTCAATTTAGATGCAAAGTTACCTGCTTATTAAAATCATGCTCTTTGTGTCTAAGAGCCTATCCTGATAACACTACTAAAGAACAAAGTCTAAAAAGGAGTACAGCACCACTCTGTGGGCACTTTTCTGAAATGCAGTTTGTATTAGGTAGGGAAGTAGATTTTTGTTTGTTTTTGCCAGTTGTTTATTTCATAATTTGAAACATAGACAGTGATTGAAACGAACATATACTTAAGTTTTCATTTATTTTTTGTACATTTTCTTCCAGGAAGTGCTAACCCTGTTCCAGTGTTTAAAGGCCACATTAGAGCTTCAGCCAAAAGTGAGCCCTGTGGCCATACACTCTATGCCTGTGGCTTACTTTTGGATTGGCCAACCAGTCAGTGGGCAGAAGATTTATATGGGAGTGACACACAGAGAGAACCATGACCTGACGAAGATCCACTGATCCAAACATTGTCATTCATTAAATGCAGTTTGGGAGTAAGTGTGCAGGCTTTGTCTCACTTTCTATGTTCACTGTAGTAGCCTTGCACCAGCAATGTGCATGTACTTACCTTTTATGATATATAAATTCATAACACACAAAAAGGAAAAAATATAGAGGTTTTATATCAAAATAACAACGACAATGGTATAGAGCCTGAACACAGTAAAATTTAACTACATGTAATTACCCAACCTTATGAGCTTAACCAAAACCATAGTCTTATGACATTGTATGTTGTTTTAATAATAATAATTTGAAGGAGGTTTTTTGTTTGTTTGTTTTTTTACAAATCTCATACATAATACATCTTTAACATAATATAATTAATTCAGATTATTATTATTATAAGGAATTTTACTCCAGGGCTGTTAAAAAAAAAAAAAAAAAAAAAAAAAAACATGAGCACCATTCTAAATCTTGTTGAAATATATTGTGTATTTTAACTTGTGGCACTTTATACAACTGACAAACTTTCTTTTGCAAAATACTGTGGTAACGTTTCAAGGATTTTCAGAAGAAAACATCTGGTGTAGTGGGAAAACAGGTGCAAGATAAGAATGCATAGTCAAAGCACAAAACCAATTTTTATATTAAATCAGCACTGTTTTATACAATTAATATAACCTATTCTTGAGAGTTAAATTTTGAAGACATTTGCTATTGCTACTATAACCTAAAACATATTAAAAGTGTGTGAATATTACATATAAAAACAAACGTCCAAGGTCATTCATTGTTATCAGTTTCATTCTTTAGCAACAAAGTTCTCTAACCCTCTTCTCAACGTGCACATTTTGACTTCTTTGGTACGCCACGATGTTCTGGCCGCTCTTCGCTCTCCTCTGCGTCTCCAGCGAAGGGGTAACGGGAGAAGAAGGTCTACCCAGGGACGAGGTGCTGTCCTGGGTCAAGCTCAGAGTCCTGGAGGGCCTGGGAATGGAGGAGGCACCGCAGGTTCGCACGCCCGACGAGGAGAGGAGGAAGCTGGGGAGAAACGTGCTCCTGAACAGGGCAGAAAGTGTGGGCGATGGATGCGTGGAGCAACAAGATGAGATGCAAGTTATTTTGTTTGCAATTTCAGGTAAGACGGCATTCTGTTTTGGCAAAACTGTTCTAATTTGAGGAAAAAATTGACAGAAAAATTCTAATCAAAATGCAAAGTGTGACTTTTGCGGTATCTGCAAGGCAAGAAAGCAATGTTTTTAAGTATTAATATTTGAGATTTTATTTCAAGATATAGGCCTATAGATTTGCAAAATCTTTTGCGAAGTGTTTAGTCAGTACTGTTTCATTAATGTAAATAGAAGAGTATATTATATAAGAAAAAAGTATCTGTCTAGTATAGCAAATGGTAGTATTAGTAGTAGTATAGTGGTGGTGGTAATAGTACAAAATCTTGTCTTGTACTCATTGTAATAGTAACAGCTACAAATTGGCTTGAATGAACTATCAAAGTTTATTTTCTGATGACATTAGTTTAGGTTTACTTGTTATTTTCCATAGCCTAAATTTCCTGGTAAAGTGTCTACAACCTGTTCGTCCCCATGGCAATGTTCTTGTTTTGCCAGGAATGTGCCACAGTATGGCATTAAACTTCTTGTTCTCCATGGAGACAAGCAGGTAGTAATGGCATTACCAGGTCAAGTTACAGTTTAGATCTGTGGAAAGGAGACGCTACTCAAAGAAAATTCATGTTTAGGAAAAAAAAAAAAACTAGTGCGTCAAATACTTTTCTCCATGGAGATGTTATTTGTTTTTCTGGAATGTTCCATAGCATGGTATTAACCCTTTCTATCTTTGTGGTAACCAAAAAACCAAAACCAGACCAAGTTACAAGTCAGATCTGAGTAGAGGCGACCCCACTCACAGTCAGAATGTCGTTTTTCTAGCTATTTTTGAGCTATAAATCCACCTGTAATTGAATAAATGTATGGTAGAGTTGTTTAATTCCATACTGTGGAACATTCCAGGCAGAGCTATGACATCTCCACAGAAACAAGCAGGCAATTACATCTCCATGGTGACAATCAATCGGTGCCAGTAGGAGACCCTCCACCAGAAAAGTTACATACTGCAAGTTTATTGATTTATTTTAACTTTTGTATAACTATTGGACATTAATAGGCCAATTTATTGATTTTTCTTATTTCAGAACATTCCTGTGCCAAGTCTGACCCGGGACACTCCTCCTCCCGTAGCCCCTTCACCTTCACCTTCCAGCCGTCCATCGACCCCCACACCTCCCTGGTCACCTCCGCGGAGCTCTGGTTCTTCTCGGGTGCGGGCCTCCCTCTGAACACCTCTGCACCTCTCTCCGTGCTCACCTCCGGGCATCAGCGTCTCCTCTCGGCATCCCCCGCCCCCGCGCACCGCTCTACAGACGGCTGGAGCGCGTACAATTTAAACCAGAACGCGCTAAAAACAATCGGGCACGGCGCGTTTTCGCTCCAAATCGACTGCCCAGAATGTCCATGCAATGACGACGAAGACAAGCTGCCATTTTTGAGTTTAAACATCCAAAAACGCGCGCCAAAACGGAAATCCAGAAGCGTGGGGATACCTTGGTCGTCGTCTGCGTTAGATTTGCTACAACGCCCCTCTGTGGAGACTCCGGGGGACTGCAGCAGAGCGCACGTAGAGATCAGTTTTGAGGAGTTGGGGTGGGACAATTGGATAGTCGACCCGAAGACGCTGGATTTCTACTACTGCCAGGGGAACTGCTCGTCTCCGGAGAGGGCGGCGGCGCGTTTGGGTATGGTCCAGTGCTGCGCTCCGGTACCGGGGAGCATGAGGTCCGTGCGCATCACCACCACGTCGGACGGGGGGTATTCGTTCAAGTATGAGACCCTGCCTAATATTATACCAGAGGAATGTGCGTGCATATAAAAGGGTTTAAATCAGCACACTGCATTATTAAGTTCGTAGATTATTAGACAAATGTTCATTAGGACTATAGAAAATGTAATGTGCATAGATGGAATATTGATTTTGTTATTGTAGTTATAAATAAAGTGTTTTTTTGATCAATTAGTTGTTTGTATTTTTATCTAAATAATGTTAAAATCTCAAGACCATAATTTTATACATTTCATTTTGTTGTGGATTGCATGCCTTGATTAAATTGCCTACTTAAGTACCGGTATTTAAAGCATACTATGGCACTTTCTGGAGTTGGCGTCAAAACCAAACTTTGGAACGCGCTCCATGGAGATAAATAGGCTACATTTTATGCTATACTATGGCATATTAGCTGTACTGTGGTCCAAAGCAAGAAAAATGATCTGACGAAGGCTTTTTGCAGAAACGTTATTTTAAAAAAGCTTTTGGACATCGGTCATCTGAGTGTGCTGTGCGTTTTTAAATCGCTGCTCCTTGCATTTGTACCGCGACTACAACTTTGGTGTGTCATTTGATACTATTGAGTATTAACATTTCCATGGAAAGAAGCAGTTTTTTGTAACTTTTGGAATGTGATAAGTAATTCATATTTAAGATTACGTTTCATAATATAGGCCTACTAAGTGTTTGGTCAATACTATTCAATTCATGCAAGTACAGTGTTCTTTAAGTAGTAGGCCTAATAGTAGATAGTAGTATTGGTAGTTTTCAGATTCTAGAATGTGATACTCCCAGATGAGGGCAAGGGTCAGATTTCCCTATGGATTATATTGTACTCTACCACAAAATATCCACAAGGTAAATTCACAAATCTGTATTAATGAGTATGTAGTGTGTTTTTAGACAAATACATTCAAAATGGAGAAAAACATGTCTTTTTTGGCTCAAAAGTTTAATGTTTGAGCTTAAAAGGAATTAAGATTTCATTTCCAAATAGGGACTTTTCCAAAATAAATTCCTGTAAAGCTCAAGTATGGCCTCTAGATGGCGTTACAAGCTCAATTTTACAAGTTGGTCATTTTAAAGAGAACTTTTAGAAAGGATATGGAACAAAGAACAAGTTGTATTATTTCAGTGATTATTCACATCTACAAGTTTAGTAAGAAAGCCAACTTGACTTCTAGATGGAAGCAAGCCAACTTTACCTGTAGGAGCATTTCCACAACTGAGAATTAGCAAGCAGAGGTTCATTCAAACTACAAACTCCAGCAAAATCCAGAGACTCAGTCATGTTCAAATATATTTATTAACTCTGAAGAAAAATAATCTCTACAGTTACAAATACTACAAAACTTGGCATAGAAAACAGATCAAGAGTCAAAACGCGACATCGTACCTTACACTAAGTAAAACAAAACAAAAGTGGAATGAGATGATTACATAACTACAGCATGGTACAGCTCCGTGGCAGCAGCTCGTCCCCCGATAAGTGCCCGACTCTGACACACTGGCACCAGGCTGTGTGCTCCTCCGTCCTCCCGTCTCCTCCACGCGCTGGAAAATATGGCTCACCCCGAAAAGTCCGCTCAAGTGGGAGGAATTCTGACAGTTGCACAGAAGACAGATGTTTACAGCTGGTTCAACTAAAAGGCAAAATCATTTCCTCAAATCAAATGGCACAACATGGAAATGGAAACTGCGCACGTGACTATTAACAAAAGGAATTCCTTCGGTAGATCTAGGAGGGTCTACACATTTGGTCCTCAACAGTAAAGTAAAAAAAAAAAAAAAGAAGAAAAATCAGGCATTGAACATTATTGTACTAAAACAGAAACAAATCTTGGAAATTTCTTGGAACATTTCCGGTCGATAAAGAATTCAAGCATTTCCCAGGTAAACATTTTTTGGCCGATTGGATACAGGCTTCAAAATCTATCAAAGATTTTTTTATTTTTTGACGAGTGGATTTTAAATTAAGAGAAAATTGTCTAACAAAAAAGCCGCCGTAAAAATGTGTCTGCTTGCTTCTCCACAAAGAGGGCAGTGTCACAGAGAAAACATGGTGGGTAATCCTGATCGTCCTGGAGAAACACGAGTATTGTGTGGATAAAGAAAATGTTTGGAGCGTCTGCAAGCACAGACTGGAGATGTGGCAGGCTTTCAAGTCTGGAGATGATCTGTGGGCCTGCTCCTGGCCCTGGAATACTGAAAGGCACGTTCCTCCTCACATACACACGCACGCACGCACACACACTCACACACACCGCTCTCACAAACACTTTGGTCTCCAGTCTCAGTGGTCTGACTGCATTCCCATATGTGCTTCCTGTGCCTCGCTGAGCCGTGGTGAAGGCCATGGTGAGGGCTGGGCGAGCGGACGGCACACGAGCAGGAAGCACGCTCAGGCATGGATTCCTGAGGGAGACACAACATCAAGTCAAAACTGGAAACTCTTACACTTCAAAAGCCGAGGACAGTGAGACAGAGGAGGGCTAATGTGTTTACAAATGTATCCTAAACAAGAGCAGAGTGACTTAGGGGCCTCTTCTGTGTGCATCATATATAGTGTGAAGTGAAGTGTAGCATACAGTATGTACTGGACAGAACAAGCTGCCATAAACTCATGTTTATATAGTCAGGGCACATACCTTTCCCGCTGGTCTCCCCGTGCTTCTCTTGAGCAAAGTTAAGCCTGTTCTGCTCGGCGGCGCTCTGAGCGGCCGTGTTGACCTCAGGGCTGCTGCTCCGGGACGGGCTGCCCTCATCCACCTGGTAGGCCAGGTCCAGGTGCTGCTGGGCCAGCTTCAGGTGCCTCCTGAGGCGCTCCAGCTCAGAGGAGGAAGGTCCCTCATCCCCGAAGCTCTCCCGCCCGGAGTCGCCCATAGGAGAGTCTCTGAGTTGCCTCTTGAGCTTCTCCTTCTTCATGGTGGCATTGTAGCCAGGTGGGGCTGTGGGCATGGCTGGTCCGGACAGGGGAGGTCTGGCGCGAGTGTTGTGAGCAGAACGGCGACGGAAAGAATCTCTGATGCCCCCGATGCCCAGGTGAATCATCTCCAGCACAGTGAGAAGCAGGCACAGGAAGGACACCACGTACATGATGAGTAGGAAGATGGTCTTCTCCGTGGGTCGAGACACAAAGCAGTCCACCGTGTGTGGGCAGGGCATGCGCGTGCACACGTACGACGGGATGACCTCAAAGCCGTACAGGATGTACTGTCCAAACAGAAAGGCCACCTCAAAGGCAGAGCGCCACAGCAGCTGGCACACATACAGCTTCATCAGGCCATCACGCAGGATCCGCCTCCGCCCGTCGTGCTTCTTCTCAGAGCCTGAGGGGGGCAGCACACACTCAGTATAGATACACTAACCTTTCACCATGTCCTTCATCAGATATGACTCCAGGTATTACAATATTACAGCATTAGATTATAGAATAATGTTCTGACCTTTGTCTGGCTTTTCTGGCTTCTCAGGCTCGATCTCCTCTGCGATCATGGGGTCCTCCTCTCCATTGTCCTCGGCCTCCTCGTAGTCCCTCACTGCTCCACGGCTCACGATGGGCATGCGTTTGCTCTTGCGGTTGCGGACCACCCTGTACTCGCTGTCGTCCATGCGGGCGATCTTGTGCATAGCAAAGCCCAGGTACATGATGGTGGGAGTGGTGATCATGATGACCTGCAGACACACACACCTGGTCAGCTCCTGGTGGTTACACCATGTAAGTGTATGTGACCACGGCTCACCTGAAAGATCCAAAATCGCACATGTGACAGCGGGGCGAAGGCGTCGTAGCACACATTCTCACATCCAGGCTGTTGCGTGTTACACACAAACTTGCTCTGTTCATCATAGTAGATTGTCTCTCCGCCCACCGCCGTAAGCACGATGCGAAAAACTATGAGCACCGTGAGCCAGATCTTCCCCACAAACGTCGAGTGGTTGGAGATCTCATCCAGCAGCCGCGTCAGGAAGCTCCAACTCATGATGCCCAAGTACCAGGGGAGCTAGTGCTCTGGAAGACACAACACCATACAGTGTTAAGACTCACATATGAATACTTGACTCTGTAAATTGTTGACTAATATGCAGTGGATCAAATCAGTCCTCACTGTTTGAGACCGCCCCAAGTCCTTAGGTCTCCCAGTCTCTAAGTCGACTCATCCAAAATCTGGTCCAGTCCAGCTCATGCAAGTGTTTTGTTTTTTTAACTGTGGTCACTGTTGTGCACTCCTCTAAATTCCCCAAAGACCTTTGAACATCAAATCATTTAAAATGTGTTTAGAAAAGCATTTAAACAGTCACGTCTCCCACAAAGTCAAGTCTGAGTCAACACCCAAGTCATGAGCTGTCGTGTGTCGAGCATGAGCATTTGGGAGTCCATGGAGATAGCCAAATTACAATAGTGACTGAGTAATAAGTAATAACTGTTAATGCTGAAAAAAACAAAACATGATTAAACATTTTTGGGCCTCTGGATACTAAAATGTCACCATCGCCCACCACCCCCGCTACACAGCCACAAAATCAACTTCATTTGGAATTACTAATGCTTACACTGAATGAAGTACAGCTGTAATGGAACACATAGATCACTCTGCTCTGTTTGTTCAACAGATCATCCGTCTCCTCATTACTTCAACACAACAGTTCAATAACAATGTGCCCGTACAAACACTGGGACAAGTGCGGGCTCCACTCCTTTTTTGGTCCATCTCTCCATCCACCCCACGATCAAACAGCGTGCCACGGAGCGGAGGCGTGGGGAGGGGGGAGACGGCACCAGCGCACGGGCAATAATCAGAGCCAGACCAGGTAGAGCTGCAGCCACCTGGAGCCCTCAGCAGAATCTACCCATGATTCCACTCGTGCACCGGCCCGCGCCAATTACCCGCTACAGCGCAGAGAGGAGATTAGCCCTGATTTCCTGTAGCGCTACCAGACCCCGGCCCATAAATGATGTCAAACTCCAGAGCTGGCACAATGTGGCTATTGTTTGGACGACCAGACAGATTTGTTCAAAGCACATTTTTCGCTATCCTGCTTCAAAG